AACTTACTTTTGGCCTAACCCAAGAATCCATATACTTATGACAGAATTTCACACAAATGTCTCATGGGACATAATGATAACATTTTATATCCAAAAGGTCAAAAGGTATGTTTCCACTACATATACTTATTGGCTCTACTCAACTTGACACACTTGTGGTATCAGGTACTTGTCTTAATTTTGTTTTCCACGTAGTACCCCCTCAGTATAGGTGGAAGTATTAGTTCATTGTCTTAGTGACGCTGTGTAAAACATCATGATCTGCAGCGCGACAAACTAGCTTAGAATTAGTAAACACCGTGTGTCTCTTTCTGTGCAAGGCTATTTGAACAGAACTGAAATAAATAAAATAAAAAAGAATAATACAAATAATATAATACATGTAATTTAAGTTCAACAACTTTAGACTGTTTAACCAAAACATATTTGTATTTAACTCTGTTAGCTCAAAAATCTCCCCTCAGATACAATTCTTAAACGGTTTTAAACTCTGACATAAAATAAAAAAAATCTACAAACAAAAGATAAAAGACAAAACAAAAGAAACAAGTAAAGGCTTGTGTTTCCCTTGCATTTGTAAAACACTGGGTGTACACCAACATTTTATTTGTCAAAATCTTGGGTGGTCAGTAATTATTGATGTGTTTCGCAACATTTCAACCAATTTTAGTAAACCAGCAGTGTGACAGCAGGACCAGCTGACAAATCTGGACCAACAGGTGGAAAGAGAGACTGAATCACTAATTGGCTATATTAATCTGCAATAAAGTGTCATGGATTATCACTGCAAGTCTTACAGATGGTGAAAAGAATATTCCTTTTCTTTATCTCCTTTTTTGGTTTCTTTCATACAGGTCAGCCACCGCTCCTCGCCCCAGCTCAGTCTCCGTCGCCCTCCACCTCAGCCCCTGGCTCAGGCGGCCAGATAGTCACTGCCATCTACCCTCCTTCACCTAGCGTCACCATGGCAACAGGGGTGGTCTCCATGACAGCAGTACCCCCCAGCGTGGTCTACTCCGTCTCAAGCCCTTCCAGCGCTTCCCCCCACATCCTGTCCAAACACACAGCAACCCCGACCACAATCACACACACACATCCGCAGCTCCATCTGGACAGACAGGCAGACAGGCACCTACCTCCGGACAGACCTACAGATCGACAAACTGACAGACAGGCTGAGAGGCAGACAGAACTGCTGATGCATTCGGACAGACAGTTGGACAGACAGTTGGACAGACAGTTGGAGAGGCAGGCGCAGACCTCCAGCACTAGCAGCTCAGTGGCACCTCCCAGTGGCTCAGCTGTGTCCATAAGACCCTGCAGTCCTCCACTTCAAATCCAAACACCTGGTACCTTTTTTTTTATTAAATACTTGATCTACGAAGTTGTAATGTATAGTGAAATATTTTAAACTTTTCTTCATCTTTCTTGTTATACAGGCAGCACACCAGGTACACCCAAACTAACCCAGCTTCCAGTCAGAACCCCTCAGAAGGTGAAGGCAACGGTGGCAAACATCCCTGTGGGCAGCTACGAGGGTGGAGGCCGAGGAAAAGAGAGAGAAAGGGAGAAGGACAGGGAGAGGGAGAGAGAGAGGGAGAGAGAGAGGGAGCGGGAGAGGGAGAGGGAGCGAGAGCGGGAAAAGGAGAGGGAGAGGGAGCGAGAAGCTGCAGCCACGAGTAATTTCTCCTTTGATCCCGAGTCTCCATCGACATATTCTGCTGAGGAGCCGCCATCCTCTGACAAACCCCTGGAGGGCTCCAGTGCAGCGGACTCTTCTGACACACGGAACAGGGAAAGCACAACCACCAAAGAGGTGAGAGGAACATCACACACTGGCTTTCAGCTCTAACACAATGAGAAGAAACTATATGTATGAATAACATATGTGTGACATTGAATGAAATGCTTGAATTGAACTTTCTTTGCAGGCTGGATGGAAGGAGTCCCTCCCCTCCTCTCCTCTCCCCCCTCCAGCAGCCACAGAACCCGCCCTGCCACCCCCACAGACTGACAAAGACGGCCCTACACCCAAAAAGGTCAAAGCCCGCCCACCCCCTCTTAAGAAGACTTTTGACTCCGTGGACAAGTGAGTTAACACCTTTGTGAATCTTTAGTGTAAGGTTTCAGAAATCCTTGATGGACAGTGTATATATACTGTATATTGTGTGTGTGTGTGTGCGCGTGTTGGTCTGGCAGGGTGCTGTCAGAGGTGTATTTTGAGGAGCGCTTTGCAGAGCTACCAGAGTTTCGGCCTGAGGAGGTTTTGCCTTCACCCACCCTGCAGAGTCTGGCCACTTCTCCCCGCGCCATTCTGGGCAGCTACCGCCGCAAGAGGAAGAACTCTACAGGTTTCACTCACATTTTATGCATTTTGAGATACTCTAAGTGGATTTAGACCACTGTAGTTACTGTTTGTGAAAGCAAAGCTAGAACAATCTCTATACTGTTTATTGACTTAAGGTATAAGATTCTGTTAATACACTGTTTTACAGATGTTACTAGATAGAAGTATCTGTTTTTTTTTGTTTTGCAAAAGCTTAACAGTTTATTGATACCTTTTTAAAACTGTTAATTTTATATAAATATCACATTGTGTTGTGTCCTCTGTGTGCTTCTAGATTTGGACTCAGCCACTGACGATCAAGTCTCTCCTAAGAGGAAGAGTCGGCGGCGCTCAAGCTGCAGCTCGGAGCCCAACACGCCCAAAAGTGCCGCCAAGTGTGAGGGAGACATCTTCACCTTCGACAGAGCAGGTAACACACAGGGAAGGGCCATAATGTTGATTATTTTAATGATGGAAAAACAATAAAAAAAACAGGGTAACAACATTAACATTCTTTGTTATTTTGTTATAGACGTACATATCCTAATACTAGGTGACTTATTAGTGACCCAGTCTCTGCATGGTGCATTGCAAAGTTTACTTTTACTAATCTTACTATTCTAGTCTACTTTTATAGTATAAATTTTACTTTTTTGTCATAAATAAAAACATCAGATGAGGCAATGCAGTCCATATGTCAAGTAAGCATGTAAGAGTTTATAGTCTATTAAAATTGTTTTGATGTTGTGATTAAGTAAGAAAGTTCTGTCTTTAACTTTTAAAACAGTAGTTGTGCTGTGTTTTTCCTCCTTGGTTTCACCTTTAGGAGTTGATAGGACCTGAAGGGACATAAACAAAGATGTTCATCATTGTAACTAGTTTCCTGAAGACTTAACCAACTCCACCTGTTTGTCCCTTTCCCAGCCACAGACGGGGAAGACATCCTGACAGAACTGGAGTTTGATAAGGTGCCGTACTCCTCCCTGCGAAGAACCCTGGACCAGAGGCGAGCACTGGTCATGCAGCTGTTCCAGGAGCAGGGCTTCTTTCCATCAGGTAAGACACAGACACACACATTATACAAGCATTTTCAGAATTATTTTTCTTCACTTGCAGACATTAGTTCATGTTGTCTTTCTGTCTGTTTGCAGCTCAGGCCACTGCAGCCTTCCAGACAAGATACTCTGATATATTTCCAACCAAGCTGTGTCTGCAGCTGAAGATCAGGGAGGTCCGGCAGAAGATCATGCAGACGGCGGCCCCCTCTGATGCCTCTGGTTTAGGCATCCCCGACTCAACTGGCTCCCTCCCCGGACCCTCTGGCTCCCAGTCAGGAGAAGGATCTGTGAGAGGATGTGGGGAGGATGAAGAAGAGGAGCAAGGGACAGAGGCGAGCCCAGAGGATCCTCGTGACTCACAGGACTCTTCTAGATGAGGGATGCTGACAAATTAGATTGACCAATCAGTGACTGTTGACATCACACCTTCCCACCCCCTACTCCCTCTTACACTTTACTTTTTTTAATCCACACTTTTAACTCTCCTCTGGTCAAATCCTGATTTCTTTCCACCGTCAGCAGACAAACCTGAGATGTTTGTATGCAATGTTGGGACTTTACTTTTTGTAATGTGTGACCCTTGTACCAAAAAAAAAAAGGACACGTGAAAGACAAGTGGCACAAAAACTACCCCAAAACACACACACACTGCACACACA